CTCTCTTTCTTTCTTTTTCGTCCTTCCTCCTGCGGCTCTGATTGAATCGTGTCAGAGCAGCAGGACGTTGGTGCTCTCGCCGTGTTCAGCATCCTCGGACTGAGTGCTGCAGTAATGAGCTCTGAGAATGAACATAAGAACAGGACGAGGACCTCAGCCGCTCCTGTGATGCAGATGGCTCCATTTAATGGCGATGCCTCAAATCCAACGAGCTTCAGACACCTCCTCTGAGGGTTTGAAGTGACGGCGGAGTTGTTCCACATGGCGCTACGCCCTCCTTCATGTCTGCCGGCTCTCTGGGGGGCGTTGCTGCTGTTTTCTTCTCTGTTACCCGCCAAGCTGTTGCTGCAGTTGTAGATATAATAAATGCAGCTTCAGCCGGGCCCAGTGGACTGAGCCTGAGTTTGGATTACAGCTATGGCCCTATCAGGAGAGGAAGAGGAGGAGGAGAGATGGTGTCACACTGTCTGCCATTACAGCGTTACATTTTCTGTTTACACGTCAGTGTTTAAAACTTAATTCTGCTTTGTTCCGGCCTGCTGTTCCTCTCATTCGTGAGTCAGCTGGGACATGAGAATTTTGCAGTGTGTTGATGTATGCAGAGACTGTACATAAAGGTTGAATATCGTCTTAGGTTTGTGATGTCCTGGCATGAAGTTGAACATTTCCATCATCACAATTTTGCCTTTTTGGGGTCAGATGAATACGGCCTGGATCGTTTGCTTTCTCTGGCCATCCTTTCTGACTGTAACAGGTCCTTCAGTTCCAAAGCAAACACTACGTTCTATTCAATCAGAGCTGAAACCAGCAACCAAGACAAGAAACTCCTTTGCAAACTTTTTAGTGACCTCAGTGATCGAATGAGCAGGCGACCCATTTCCTGACTTCTATCCAATCAGACATCATTTTACAATCAGTCACGCTGACAGCCAGAAGATACCTGCTGCGTAAGACATAAACACACAAATTCTGCAGGTGTGGCAGAGCTGTGATCCGAATGTATCAAATTTCAGATCCGTGGAAGAAAATGGATGAATCAATATTTAAGATTTCACCACTAGGTGGCAGTGTTTTATGAGAAAGTGCTGGCGTAGCTGTCCCTGCAGTGCAGGGGTGATGACGTTTGAACTTACTGTTTGTGAAGCTGAAGTTTGTTCTATTTTTGTGTAAATCTGTGTTTCCTTTTTTTCTAAATGTATTGATCAAACTAAGATCCGGGGAGGGATAAAAAAACAAAACAAAACTGGGCTCTCCCACCTGGAGGGGGAAACCAGGTGGGGATTGCCCAGAGGTGTGAGGAAACCAGGAGCTGCACAGACTACGCTGAGGAAACATGAGTGAGTCATCAGTGAGGAGCGTTCACTACAGCAGCACAAAGTGACAGATGGATGACAATGTAGAGAAAACCGTTGCTGATGCTGCAGTGTGAGACTCGAAAGAGCACACAAGGAGATGCCTTCACAGCAAAACTGAAGCATCTGTCTGTTTTTATTTCTTTTTACTTAAAAAAAGATTAAAAAGATGAAACCTGCAGCTGCTGAGGAGGACCTCGGACTGTGGAGCTTTGTTTCCGGTTGTCCTCCTCTTTGGATTCTTCCGGGATCACAGATTTCTTTAGCCTGTTGTTGGGCCCTGACACTCAGCTATGTGAAGCATCACCGTCATGCTGCTGCAGTTTAAAGAGCTGCACTGCTCTGTCCAAGTTGTAGGTGAGCTGCAGCTACTCTGCAGCTGTTACAGCTCTGCTGCACCTCCACGATGCACTCTGGAAATTCCAAACCAACAGACATTCTGAGTTTAAACCAGAGAGACTGGTGAATCTGATGGCACAGTCACAAAGCTTTGCATAGTTCCAGAGCAGATTCAGTCTGTCCTGCTCAAGTAAATCCATCTTTGTTGCTCAATGCTGAGTCAGAGGGGAGGCACTTGGATTCAGGCTGTTTCCATTATCATGTCACTGTAGTATCGCGTCACATGTGACACATTGCATGTTATCCCTCAGGCCAATCACAGCTCTACATCATCCTGCATGATGCAAATAAGTAAAATGTATTTGTATAACACTTTTTAAGACAGGAATGTGTTGCAAAGTACTTTACAAGGAATACAAAAACATATCAGACAAAACAACATATTACACAAGAACGTTACCCAAATGTCTGTCTTAAAGATGTGTTTTCAGCTGTTTTTCAAAAGAAGTCACAGAGTCGGTGGTGCGTACAAGGGGTGTAAACTGTTCCAGAGTATTGGTGCTAGGGTTTGGAAAGCGTGATCCTTTGTTTTCAAACGGGTCCGTGGAATAGTCAGAAGACCACTATCAGTGGATTTATAGATCTGGTTTGGAGAGTAAGGGTGAAGAAGCTCGATGATATAAGTGGGGGCCTCTCCTCATAAAGACATAAAAGTTAGAGTGAGGATTTTAAACTGATATCTATACCCAACCAGAAGCCAGTGCAAAGACTTTAACAAGGGAGTGATATGAGTGAATTCATGACTGTGGGTTAACAGCCTTGTTGCGGCATTTTGCACTGCTTGAATGTGATTTAAAGATACCTTTGTCAGACATGTTGTCTGATTTTAGGCTTGATACTCTCTGGAGCAAGAACTAAACACTCAGTCTTGTCTGCGTTCAGCTGCAGAACCATCCAACCATTAATTTACTTAAGACAGTCCATTAGGATGGATAATTTGTTTACTTCCCAAGGTTTAAACGAGATGTACAATTGGATATCATCTGCATACAGATGGTAGGAAATCATTTTGAAACTGCTAATAACTGCTATTAGGCCTAAAGGCAGAATATATAATGAAAATAACAAGGGGCTTAAAACCAATCCTTGTGGAACCCCGCATGAAAATTCAGCTATATCTGACCGAAGGTTTCCTACTGAAACCAAAAGTGATCTAACTGCCAGAAATGATGTGACGCATTTTAGGACAGATCCAGATATCCCTACCATGTGATTTAAGAGGTGGATTAAGATCTGATGATCAAAGGTTGAGCTAAGGTCCAGTAGAACAAGGACTGAGCAAACACCTCTGTCTGTGGCCATCAAAAGGTCATTTGTGACTTTAAGGAGAGCTGTCTCTGTGGAGTGTAACTTTTAAAAACCTGACTGAAAGTTATCGAGACTTTTTCTAATATTTTAGAAATGAAAGGAAGTTTTGAGATGCGTCTGTAGCTTGTCTAAGTGTTGGATCCAGGTTATGCTTTTTCAGCCGAGGTTGAATAACCCCCTGTTTAAAGCACCTGGGGACAGAGCCAGACAGCAGGGAAAAGTTTATCAACGTGACCACAGAGGGCCCAATGGTGTCAAAAACAGAGAAGTAGGTAAGACATCAGCTGGACTCGTTGAGGGTTTCATTTGAGTTAGTATTTCCGATGAATCTTTTAAAGAAACTGGGTGAAAATACTCCATAATTATGGGATGTGGGAGATCACAGTTGAAGGGGAGTTATATTTTCTCTTAGGCCACTAATCTTATCTTGGAAAAATCTTAAAAAGGCATTGCAATCCATGTCTGAGAAGACTGGTATACATGGAGTTGGAGGAGAGATGATGCTATTGACTGTATCGAAAGAACCTTAGGATTTCTTTTTCCTACTGCAAGTAGTTTAGAGAAATAAGTGGCTCTCGCATCTTTCACTATGTTGTTAAAGGTAGATAATAGCTCTTTGGAGCTTAAGTGGAGCTTATGAACCTCAAGTTTTGTGGCTCTCCACAGGCGCTCAGTTTAACGGCAGATTTGCCTAAAGCTGCGGATAGCTTCTGTGATCCAGGGCGGGGATTTTACAGTGCTGCCTTTCTGATTTTGAAAGGAGCCACTTTATCTAGAATTTTTAGACATTGCAAATTGAAGGATGCCACATGCATCATCAGTTTCAGGTAGATTATTATAAAACCCTCCATGCATCCATTTCTTCGGCTTATCCGGGGCCGGGTCGCGGGGCACCAGCCCAAGCAGAGAAGCCCAGACCTCCCTCTCCCCAGCCACCTCCTCCAGTTTATCCGGGGGAACACCAAGGCGTTCCCAGGCCAGCTGAGAGATATAATCTCTCCAGCATGCCCTGGGTCTGCCCTGGGGCCTCCTCCCGGTGGGACATGGCCGGAAAACCTCGCCCATGAGGCGTCCTTGTCAGATGCCCGAACCACCTCAACTGGCTCCTTTCGATGTGGAGGAGCAGCAGCTTTACTCTGAGCCCCTCCTGAATGGCTGAACTTCTCACCCTATCCTATCTCTAAGGGATTATATTTACACGATATTATAAAACAATTCCACAAATTCTTCTACCACAGAGTCAGTAATTAGACATGAATGCTTCACATGAACAAAGGGCAGAGTGTCACAGATAAAGGAGAGTTCAAATACAGTACAGGCGTGGGCGTGTGTGTGTAGCAGTCTGTTCAAACTGAAGTGAAAAAACTCGTCATCCTCTGTGTCTCTGCAGAAACGACGATGCAATAAATCAGATGGCCGTCCCTCCCTTCCCCTCTCCCCCTCCACCACCCTCCCTCAGCCCAGCCAGCCCTGAGGTAAACGAACACACACACACACACACACACACACAGATGAACAAGACACAACACACAGATGAAGAATACAGCTTCTCTGTCCCCATACCTTTGGATATGTGTTCTCCAGTTTTGAGCAGTGACACTTGTCCTGGTATAAATATCAGGTGCTGCATTTAAAATCCTTTTGTTGAATGAAGCAGTATTTTTGTCTGTTGTAATGTCACTGTGTCAGGCTGAGTGATTACAGACTCGTTAATGTCGCCTTTTTGAGAAAAATATATATACACTGCTACTTTGTCAGTGCTTGGTCACTTTCATGACGTCTTCACGTCATCAACAAGCCGCAATACAGCTGACATTATGTGGTGTAAACCTTTATGATGCCAGCCAGATAGTGTGAAAAGAATAAAAAGGTTTGTCGTCAAAGTTGAAAACAGACCAGAGGAAGCAGGTGAAGGTCACCGTGAGATCATTTAGCCAAACGTCAATGTAAGTGTGAGTAATGGCAGGATGGAGTTCTCTTTAATGACCGTGGTTTAATCCTCAAAATGTTCAGACTGCTGTGTGTAAAATGTTTTGATCTGATTTGTTTGGTCGTCTTGATGAAAAAGTTCACCTGTGAGAATTTGCAGGAGGTGTAGGTAAACGTTTTCAGGTAATGTTTCCTGTCCTTTGTGAAGATGTATGTTAGTGTTTCACAGACGGATGAGCCTTCAGTGTTTGCACAAAGAAGAGAAACTATTCATATTTAAAGTTTAGGGTCGCAAAACAGTCGGTTATTGATTGTTTATGTGGAAGTCCATCAGCTGTGTGACCGTGCTCAGAACACAACAACGTTCAGCTTTGACCTCCACAGAGAAGAAAGTGGCGTCTGCTTGTTTGAGACGAGCACCAAAGTTCATTCTTTGCGTTTGTATGTCAGTGTATCTCGCCCACCCTGCTCAGTGGATCCACCCCCTCTGACGGGCCCTGCCCCCCCGAAGGCTTGACGCTCCACCCGCTGTCGGACGCGCCGGTGAGTGTGAAGCTAAATCTGAAACGGAAACGTGGGAACGAGTTGTAAGTGTGAGCTGATCTGAGATCTGCTTAACAGGACGAGCCAAGCGACGAAGCCGAGCAGAACAGCAGGAGCAGGAACAGCGTCCGCGAGAGTCTGAGAGAGGCCAACACTTTCAGAAAGGTACACAGCCATCAGACTCCGCCCCCAGGGCGTAATTGTTCAGATTATTATGGCAATGTTTACCCTTGGGAACCTTAATACTGACATTCTCTGATCAAACAAACCAGACTTCATGTGAATTTTTCCCAATTTTGGAACTGTTGTCTTCTGTTTACTCCTGACCATCGTCAACTTTATCTTTCTGTCTATAAAAAAACTTTTCCTGTGTATGAATCTCATCAACCTGCAGGTCTCCAAAATCCAAGAAAGTGAAAACAGCCAGAAGAGTGATTTTATTTGGACATATTTCATATCTCCAAAAGTTGATTCTGTTCATCTGGACGTAACATTTTCAGTGGGAGACTTCTTCAGTCTCAGCTGACTGCAGGTTTCCCCAATCTTATAAACAGTACATTTGCATAATAACTGAAACCAGCCCACTGAAGGAACAGTGGGCTGGGAGGTCAGTTCCTTCATCATGATTATGCAAATTCTCATGACCACTGACAACTGATCAATGGCCGTGAGTACCATTCACAGAGAGTTGGGGAATGGCTGCAATCACAGCATTGTACGATGGCGAAAGATGTACGCTTAGGCCCCCTCCTCGATTCAGAGATGGTCTTTCCCTTTTCACGTAAATTGACTCCGCGCTCAAACCAGCGTTCCTCCCTGTCCAGGATGTGTACATCCTTATCATTGATGTGCCAAAAATTGTTCCACCCCAAGGATCCGGTCCTCCGAAACAAACAGAGTAACATAGTGTACGCAGTTAAGTGCCAGGAGGATTGCCAGGACATCGGGGAAACCAAACAAACTCTGGCAAAGCGGATGGCACAACACAGAAGAGCCACCTCGTCAGGCCAGGACTCTGCAATCTATTCACACCTACAGGCCAGTGGACACTCTTTCAATGATGAGGATGTACACATCCTGGACAGGTCACTTGGATGAGTGACGAAACGTTTCTTCCACTGAAAACGCTACTTCTAGATGAACAGAATCAACCTTTGGAGATTTACTTACCTGGATGATTGAGAATGCATCAAGGCGACATATTTCATATTACAAACTTTGTCCTCAGAGGGTTTTGTTCCAGATGTCCCAGAAATTTGACTGAATGAGGACATCAATGTGTCTCCTTGACCCGCTCTGCTCTGTTTCCTCTGCAGAGGCTGAAAGCTGCAGAGTCTCCAGAAAATGAGCTGCAGGCTACACTGGAGCAGTGTGAGGTAAATGTCCCACTATCAGAATTGATCCCACTCTCAAGTATTAAAGCTCGTGCGATGCACGGCAGCTCCTGTTTTCTGACTAAGCTCCAAACGTCATGAGGGTGAATCCTATAATCCAACATCTACAGTTTTAATTTGCTGTAAAAAATTATATTGAAGTCTTTTAGCCTTCATCAAAGATCCTGAGATGCTTTGGAGGGGATGGTGCTGTGTGGTTTCAAAAAGAAGAGGCTCTTGCAGACAGAGGCGAGGATGCCTTGCCTCAGTAACCTATGGATGCTGGCTCAGACTCACACCCCTGTAAAGGTGAAGACTGTGAAGGCCACAGCGTATGATTCACATCATCATCTCCATCAACCGTCGCAGTGAGGCTCTGATGAAAAGTCTGCAGTGAGTCTTTACTCTGAGGAGGCAAACGCTGACCTCTGTGCCCCTCGGCAGCTTGCTGAAGTGTGACGAGTGATTCGGCTTGCCGTGCAACTCAGACTTTCAGGGCTGTGCTGGAGTACCAACACCCCGAAGCCTCAGAGGCATCAGCTGGAAGAGAAAATACTTCATTTCCTGTTCTGGTGTGTTCGCCTTGCATCTAAGCCGTGACGGCTTTGGTGTAGGTCAGCATTGTCACATCATGTATGACGATGTTACACCGGACTGACTGTGCAGGGTTTCTGTTCACTTTTCCTGATGTTGGTGTGGTTACTGTTATTATGGACTTATTTCACTTTGCTCAGTTTGTTATTCTCAGTCACACAAGAGCCTCTATCAATACATCTGATCTGTGTGCGTGTGTGTGCGTGTGTGTGTGTCCAGTCACACAGTAAACGGATGGCAGCTTCTCCTCCTCTGATCAGCCCCGATCAGCACAGAGGTACAAACACAGACATTTAACTGTGAAAAATCAGATCGACATGCAGACTTCATGTTTCTAAGAGTAAACAGATCCTCGTCCTCCGCAGACCCAACCTGCTGTGCTGTGGTTCCTGGTCAGGAGACACTGCTGGAGATCTGCAAAGGTCGATCTGGACTGGGACTCAGTATAGTGGGAGGAAGAGACACACAGCTGGTAACACACATGCACACACACACACACACACACAGTGTGTAACTTTACAGTCCAGTGCTATACCTGCTTTTGTAACCAGCTGTGAGCATCAGTGATGATCTAACAGCTGTTACTGTCCGTCCTTTTAGAGTTATTAAGGATCACAAATGCTGGAAACTCCTTAAAAAGTGTCAGATCTTTAATTATTGTTTATGCCTTTATTTGATAGTAACAGTGTAGAGAGACAGGAAAGCAGGGAGAGAGAGGGAGGGAAAGACAGCAAAGGTCCGTGGGTCAGACTCCAACCCGGGCCCATGGCATGTGGTTGCCAGCTCATCACACTGAGCTAAACTGGCACCAAACACACTAGATGTTCACGTGAGCAGCTAAATTGTTTCTCCGTTAAATAAGGTTTTTACAGAAAATAACTGGCTGACTGGCAGGCAATCAGGAATGAGTGCTGGACACACTGTTCTGTGACAGAAAGCCTGACGTTCACACTTTGCCTGTAGAATCTGTGTTTAGTATTTGGTGTGAGACAGATTTGAGTGAGAGTCTCACACTCTCCGCAGCATCGAGGACGATGCTGAGAATGCTCAGCCTTTTTCGATAATCGATTTTCTGATTAAAATCGATTTCGGCTTGAATAAAGTCATATCGATTCATTAAATCCCAAATTAATTTATAAATATAAATGTATTTTGCCAGAAACGCCAGAATCCAAGGTTAAACCTCACAAAACTATTTCAACAACCACCAAACAGCTAAAGCAGTAAATGAGAGCAGGATTCCACACAAAGACGTAAACACAAAGCGCGGACCCGACGCATCAGAATCAGTGAAATGTCGTCTTTCTCACCCGATGGCACGTACCCAGACGTGTACGTACAGTTGGAGCTGAAAGCCGACAGCTCACAGATTCTGAAGCTGCAGGTTTAGTCACTCTCCAATGAAAGTTGACTGAACCAGCAGCAAAAGAAGATCCAAACTACGCTTCACATTTCGCTTCACATAAACATCGACATGAATTCCCTCTTACTTTTGCTATTTTGCTTCCACCACAATAAAATCACACTTCCTGCACAGCTCTTTCTCTCTCTGTCAGTGTACTTTAAGAACAGTTTCCCATCTCAAATCTCTGTTTTCTGAATTATTTGCTTGGTTAATACCCACCAGTCATAAATGATCAGAATTATAATATTTCTATAAATGACAAACTGGAGGACTTTGATCAAATCTGGAGGTCACTCACTGAGTATCTGGAAACTATGGACAAACAAACTACTATGTGGGCTTTACCCTAGGTTATAACAAAGTGATAGCACTCTGGGATCAGGGAAGGGTGTGGGGAGGGAGTTTTTTTTTGTTGTTGTTGTTTGGTATTTTCTACCGTCTTGGTTGTCTGTTTCATTTTTTGTTGTTGTTGTTTTCCCCCTTTCTTGGTGATAAAAATATAAAAATTAAGCGATATCAGCCCATGGGGCATTTTTGCAATCGTTACTTGTGCTTCACTGTAAAAATATTTGAAGAGAGAGAGAGGTTATATAATAACCTCTCTCTCTTTACATTTAGAAATATAATATTTCTAAATGTCGGAGTCAAAATTGAATCTCTCTCTTCTTGTTTCTCCACTAGGATGCCATCATGATCCACGAGGTGTATGAAGAAGGAGCTGCAGCCAGAGATGGGCGTCTGTGGGCCGGAGACCAGATACTGGAGGTATTCACAGACACAGCACCACCCACGGGAGGAGGCACCCATCCACCTGTCATTACATCATTAACAGGATGTATACGAGCCATAACATTAGCTGGCGAATGTAGTTACTGCTCACAGTAGGAGGTCCGACCTTCTGCAGAGAGTCATCAAAAACTCAGTTAGATCAAAAAGATATTTTGATTTGAAAGTTGAATCTAATGTTGTCTGCTCAGAAACGAACCTGCTTCAGCTCCCCCTGCTCAAACACAGCTCATACATCCACCGTCTGTGTGTGTGTGTGTGTAGGTGAATGAAGTGGATCTCCGCGGGGCGTCCCACGAGGAGGCGATCGCCGCCCTGCGTCAGACACCGGCTAAGGTCCGTCTGACAGTCCTGAGGGATGAGGCTCAGTACAGAGATGAGGAGAACCTGGACGTCTTTAAGGTGGAGCTGCAGAAAAAGAGCGGCAGAGGGCTGGGGCTCAGCATCGTCGGGAAGAGGTCCGCATTAAAAAAAAAAAAAAAAAACCCTGTCAGGAAAATTAAGGAAGTCATGAGATCTGATTTTAGGAGGATTACGTCTCATTTTTGTTTATAATGACAGGAAAACATCAGAGTTAAATCTGTTTCTGCTTAAAGTTTGTCTTGGGAATGTTTTTTTGACTACAGATGAGAAAATGTCACCTGTCTGTCTGTCTGTCCGTCCCAGGAGTGGCAGCGGTGTGTTTATCTCAGAGGTGGTCAGAGGGGGCGCCGCTGAGCTGGACGGCCGGCTGATGCAGGGAGATCAGATTCTGTCAGTGAACGGTGATGACGCGAGACATGCCTCCCAGGAAGCCGTGGCTGCCATCCTGAAGGTGCTGAACAGTACTCTGAGCTTTTACTGCAGTAACACTGATCTGTAGAAGTACTGATACTACACTTAATCAGAAGCACATGCTGAGGCGGAGCTTTTTATTTCACGCACTAACAGATCATTTTCATTGGTCGGTCACTAGAAGTGAGAGATTTCTGTGTTTCACTGACAGACCTAAAAAAAATTAGATTACTGGATTCAGATTGTTCCACAAACACTAAAGAGGCGGTGCATGAACGTGTTTCTTCACGTAGAAAAAGTAAAATTTCGAGGACACAAAGAGTGCATGAGGAATTTAGGGAACATGTTCCAGCATTTTCTTTTCCAACACTGCTGCTCGGTCTTTACCACGCTACCTGATTCTAACTCTGAAAGCAGACCTTTTATTATGTGCTTCTGCTGCTGAAAACATTTCAGAGTTAACACAGAGCTGCAGGAATGCGTTAGCATCCCTCACTTCCTGTTTCCCCGCGTGGATGTTTCAGTTATTTGCAGCCCTGTAACACAACAGTAAATACCTCCCACTGTTAAAGCTTTCCACGACTTCGCTCAAAGTCAGCGTCACACTTTTTTTTGAGATGATCTCAAATTGATGCAAACTTCAGCGCTAGTTTACCATAAAAGTCTTTACTGCAGCTCTGAGGTGGTCCGGTTTAACGTGTGTGTGTGTTTGTGTGCTTGTGTCCGTCCTGCAGTGTGCTCGGGGTCCTGTCCTGTTGGAGCTCGGCCGACTCAAAGCTGCCTCCTGGATCACATCCAGACGTAACTCACATGGGAGCCAGGTGTGAGAGAGTTCAGATTTATGATGGTCCCTAACACTGTAAGATAAGCAATACTACAAGCCCAAAGATACAAAATCCCAACAATCAGATCGCCATGAGCAAGCACTTGGTGGTAGTGGGAAGGAAAAACTCCCTTTTAACAGGAAGAAACCTCCAGCAGAGCCAGGCTCGGGGAGGGGCGACCGTCAGTAGGGAAAGAGGAAAGAAGAATAGCACAGAGAGACGGGTTCATTAAATCAGAGTTTAGTCCTTTCTGTTTTTTTGTTTGTGCTTATGTTAGTCAGGACACCTGAGCAGGGATTCAAACCAGCAGGCTTGGATGGCTCACCAGCTGTTCCTTCTGCTCCTCTTTCCCACGATGACCCACCCCGGGTCTGAGTTCATTCTGGAACAGAGCGCCAGGATTGTCCTGATCTCAGCTTTAACAAAATAAACCTGCTTCCTGTGTAAACTGTAAAGCGATGATGGACATGCCTCCTCACCTGGGAGCACCTGAACTAGATTTTCTTTCTCTGACATGGCGAGCAGCGTGAGCTGATATGACACTTCCTGTTTCAGATGAGTCACGCCAGCACAAACAGCTCAGGCGTTCCAGCTCCTTCCCTCACACAGTCCCCTGAGCCATCTGACCCCCCAACCTCAAGCCTGCCCCTCAATAACAACGCCGAGCCCACTGGTGAAATAACTTCCTCCACCTCAGGTAGACACGTGTGATTGGTCAGAGTGATGCAAATGTGTTGATTACAGAGAGAGCACTGATCGCGATTTCTCTGCTGTGTGTGCAGGGCTCGACGAAGGCATCCGAACAGTGGAGATCACCAGGGTAATGACCTCACATGCACACACAAACACACTGTAGGTCACCTGACCTCTGATCCCTGGATTGCTGTAAAATAATAACTCACATGAATAGTGCAGACCGGATGTCACTGTCACCGCACAGTGAGAAGGTCCGCGTCCACCTTTTATTTTATATTTTTATTTCCATCAAACCACAGGAAAAAACTAAAACAGTGAGTTCTGGATAAGAAAGACCCGTAGCTGCGATTTCATGGTTAAAGCTAGATGTCATTCTGCTCTCCTTTTATTCTTCCACCCGTGTATCTCAGGGTCTCGGCGACTCCCTTGGGGTGAGTGTAGCAGGAGGGAAGGGCAGTCCTCTGGGTGACATCCCCATCTTCATCGCCATGATTCAGGCTAGCGGAGTCGCTGCTAAAACCCACCAGCTCAAGGTGACTGAGACCACGCCTTTTCCACCTGAACACTGCACCCACCAACCATGTGAAAAAAACAGGCTGAAACCAAACTTTAGTCTCACTGTAGCTGTGTGGGTGTGCAGGCGGGGAGCAGACTTCGTCACAGGGCCACGATGCCCCCCCTAAAGTAAAAGTTGGATCAGTTATAAGTATAAAGGCTTGGTTTAAGGGTAGGAGGAGGCTGGAGAGATGAGGCCGTCTCCAGGAAGTGATGGAAACGTGTCTCTCTGTGTTTTCAGGTGGGAGACAGGATCGTCAGTGTTAACGGGCAGTCTGTGGACGGCCTGTCTCACAGCGAGGTCGTGGCCATGCTAAAGAACAGCTACGGAAACATCAGCCTGCAGGTAAAACATGCCTGGCACACCTGTACACGGGGAGGACTGTGAGAATGCAGGTGGTGAGCAACACTCCAACATGTGACCCCACTATTACAGCAGATTTACTGGAAAACTGAGGCGGACAACAGGGTCAGGCCAAGTAATGTCTGCAACTGTTGGGGGGGTGCACTGGAGTCTGGACTACACACACTGTGCATTTTTCCTCTGATTGGAGGAGAAAGTAAAGCAATAAAAAGAAGAAGCACTGTGGAACGCCTTTTGGTTCAAAAACACTTGTGAGCACTTGTGACCCACAGTGATGCCAGAGGGTGGAAGTTCATCCACTGCCTGATCTTTGCCCGACAAACCTAAGATGCAGCAATGAGCTGATAACACACGGAGAGATTTTGCTCTCCGTGTGTTATCAGAAGTTTGTTTTATTTGTGAGCATCACAGGAAGAACATGGAAGCCCGGGTGAGACGTTCTGGATCACTCGATGGGAAAGTCTCTCTACAACACCAGAGCCTCCGGAGCTCATGATTAGCTTCTCGACAGCATCATCATTAATCAGTGTGTGTGCGCCCAAATGACATGAAGTAAATACTGCCTGCGTTCCCCAGTGTTTGTGCTGCTTTGGGATTTGTTCATAAAATGCCCTTTTACTGTCACGTTCGTCATTCAGGGGATAAAAATGTTCAGTAAAGAGAGAGAACCCAACCGCTCAGAAACTCAGAGGTCTGTCACGTGTTTACATTCAGAGCACACATGGATTATTCTGATTTCTCCGTGGCTGTGTGTGTGTGTGTGTGTGTGCGCGCGTGCGCGTGCGCCTCTCAGGTGGTGGCGGACACCAACATCAGCGCCATCGCCTCACAGGTGGAAAGTCTGACCAGCAGCTCCAGTCCGTCGGACAACACTGACACACACACAGCAGAGCCTGAGTGAGTACACACACACACACACTCAGGAGTAATGACAGGAAGTACTGATCTGACCCCAAGTCTCTCCTCCCCCTCCTCGTCAGCGGTCCACGGCCTCGCAGCATCAGCCTAGAAAAAGGTTCAGAGGGGCTCGGCTTCAGCATCGTCGGTGGCTTCGGCAGTCCGCACGGAGACCTGCCGATCTACGTGAAGACCGTCTTCAGCAAGGTCAGGACCCGTCTCTGTCTGATGATGTCACGTGCTGCAAGGCACTGGGAATGTAAACGTGCTGCGTGTCGGCTGATTTCAGGGCGCGGCAGCGGCGGACGGGCGTCTGAAACGAGGCGATCAGATCCTGGCGGTGAACGGAGAGAGTCTGCAGGGAGCGACGCACGAACAGGCCGTTGCCATCCTGAAAAAACAGAGAGGAACGGTCACGCTGGATGTCCTGTCATAACACACGTCTGCTCACACACCTGCACACACACACGGAGCTCCTGCTGCGACGCACACGCTCAGACTCTTGGACAACAACTCTGATAGTCACTCTGAACCCCAACACGCAAAAAATTGACAAAAGAAACGGTGTCAGACACACGCGCGCGCGCACACTTCCTGTGCACGGGTTGGTGGGTTTTGGCCGTCTTTACATGTTAAACAGAGCTTCTCAACCTCTGGGTTGGGGCGCGACATTGGGTCTCAGCTGATGAGTTCGTGCTTGCTGTTTGGATCTAAAGTAAACTTCCCGCGCTGTAGTTTTCACGCTGTAATATTTAATCCTTAAACAGGCATGCCCACGCTTTCTAAAACACCACAAATCAAAGAGCTCCTAAACAGATAATAAAGTGTAGTTACCTGGCTCTTGTCCACCCTCTTGGACTGCAGTTGGTGGTCCTTCCAGATGCACCTAGGGAGCAGTAACTCATCTTTGAAGTGCTGCTGGTGAGTTATTTTGCATCTGCAGAATCAGCGGTCACAAACCTGCTCACAGAATAATGGCTGTGAGCAGCGTAACAGCTCGATCCAAAATACGGCCAGATCAATGTTCTGCCCCCCCCCCTTTCATCTTTACTACAATAACGAGCAGGTCGGTCTGACACCACCCAGCTCAAGCTGTCCTCGACTGTGCAGCAACATGAGTGGCTCATTTGTTTCTCACTAGGTGCTGATTGGCTGATTTTGCAGTTAAAGCAGTTTTCCTGTCTTAGCCTGTCTAGTTCGAGAGACTGAGAACGAGAAGGAATTAATTGAGCGCTAATAAACTGATCTCGCACCACGTTGTTCTCAGGTAGAGATAAAAACGAGTCAGCTGATATCCTGTAGCATCAATTCTGTCCTGTAATCGTGGAACCGACCCAACCCAACTATAAAATCTGATGTCATAACCCAGAACCAGGTTGAGAAGCTCTGCTATTATTTATCCTTTGATCGACACAACGCTCCGTACTGACGGAGGGATGGCCAAATCAGCCTGCACTAACTGATACTAACTGAGACACGGACTGATGTGAAACTTCACGAATGGAACCAGGGAACAAAAAGGGAAAGATGTGGCTGATGTTAGCCTAGCATCTCTTCTGTGGTCTACTGTTAGCCGTGTAGTAGCCGTTATTGTAAAAGTGAAGACCGATGTGGAGCGTAACGCTGCTGACTGTCAGCTTCCCTTTTTTTTTTCTGCCATCACAACCAGCCAAACATGAAAGAAACAGCTGCTAGCCTTTAGTTTCATCCTCATATTGGCTCTATACCTGTGATTTTCCACTCCAAACCTTTTTTTCCATTTTTAAGAACTTTCCTTTGGGTCTAAAAGCACTTTTTCACCGCAGGAACTCAAACAATGCACAATCTGGAGCAAACATTTACAAGAGCAGGCTCCAGTGGTCCCTTCAGAGTTTAACCAATCAGCATGCACCACACCCAGCAGTACAGGAAGCCGAGCCAGAAAGCACAATGTTTCCCTAAACCTAATCAAACTGTAGCTGGAGATATATTTTAAAATAACTAACTGTAAACACCAAGTCTAAAAATAATTCCACTTCCTGTTTGATGGTTTCATCCACGACAACCTGCAGCTCATGTGGCTATGTTTGGACTGCAGCATAAACAACGCATAGTTATGTGACTGGCCAGTTCAAATATTTGAGCTTCATTAATAAGATCTTTAAAGAACTTCACTTTTAGTTTTATAGCTCAAAGGTGTGCAACAGGCAGATGGGAAACTCTAAGGCGTGGGGGTGGGGGGTGTCTCCTGGCAGTTAGACCCTGGTTCCTGCTGTGGAAAAGGTTCATGTTTAGATCTGAAAATTACAGTCATCGTTGGGTTTTAATTACTGTTTTGTTATTTTGTCAATTATTGAACAAGAAAAGTGGCCAAAAACCTCCCTATGAAAAAATATAAACCTGTAAGAGCTGAAATCTCTAAACTTGTTTCCACATAAATTATAGAAGATGAAAAGAGACTAATAACACAAAGTTTGTCTAGAAATGTGGAAACTGTTTCTTGCCAACATCGCCATCTAATAGAAAATGTTGTGTCCTAAAAACCTGCAAACTGTTCACTCAAAATCTGGGAAATGAAAACAGTGGGCGTGAAGCTCATTAAAATATCCCTTCATAACAGAGGTATATTTATTTTTGATTCCTTTTTATTTATTCAAGTGCTTCCACTGTATTTCTGTTGTTTAGCCAAACATGTTAAACTGTGCCATCATTTGATACCATCACATATCCTCTGTTTCCGTACGCTGACTGCTGAACAGAGCCCACACAAGCATACCGATGTGAAACTCTCGCTATCTTCCACTGAGTTCGTGCAACACTTTATAGAACATGTAAACATGTCTGTCTCCATGGAGATGACTCTCAGGACTTGGTGGGTATGGAGACTCCTGTCGCCCCTGGCAACAGATACAGTGTCTTCCACATTGTAGTTGAAGGAGACGTGAATAAGCATCGGGCCGACATTCAGTGAAATCCTTGTGTTCTCCGTCTTTATCAACATGTTCTTTTCTTTGCTGCGGTCAGTCATAGCCGCAATCTGCTACTGATCTCTGCAGTCATGAGGAGGTGTGACCACAAGCAACCTCCTGCAACCGGTGGTTACCGTGGCGTTCCTGACCGGTCTTTAGGCCTGTGCAACTGCGTTCTGAACCCTCTCACCTCTGAGTATAAGCAAAGAATATTGGCTGTTTTCACTCAGGCGTGCATAAAAGTCCACACTGAGCAGCTTTTTTCTGGTTTCTTCTCCATGAGGAGTCTGTCCTGTGTTACCAGCTCTGTAAAACAGCAGAAGCTAACCTGAGAAAGTGTGGAAACTGGAGATGAGCTTTCCCCAGAGCTGCCACAGGCCTTCAAATTCAGGTCTGCTGGTGGCAGATAACTGCAGCTATCTGCAAGTTGCAAATTGCAACCAACTTCTTGCAATAAACTTCTAATATTAATTCTCATCTAGCATCCAGATCTTCTCATTCAACAAATATGAGTAGAGCTCTCAGTTTAATCCCTTTCATTAAATATCCAGTATTTATGAGCAGCTGTCCTGAAGTGCTAAGAAACTTGTTTTAGAGTGAGAACACGACGATCCAACTGAATGTCAGCATTTTGCTTTGAATGGTTTCCTACTGTGCAGGTAGCTGTTTGTAGCTGCGCATCTTCGTCTGACTCAAGTGTTTAGCAGCAGCTGAGCACCGGCCTCAGCAGCATCCTGTACTTTATACATATCAATCAAATGCAAAATACTGTATGTTCAACTTTTACTTTGTCATAATTATTGTCTTAATTTTTTGGTACTTCATATGCAAATGCCAGAGTAGATGAAATCTAATTTATTTTTGATCTTGTTGAGAATTAACAATGTATTTTTGTTGCTGTTGTGTTGTCATGAGCACTAATATGTCCGAATATCAGAAATCAGAGTGGAAACCTGCAGCTTTGGTCTGCTAGCGCTTCCTTGTTATTCTGCATCATTTCTTAATCATGTTCTCAGAGGTTGTTGAGAAAATTTGTTTGATTTCAAATAAATAACTGATAATAGATCCAAACTGACTTTGAAGGACTGTTTTACTGTATGATTCTCAGTTCAAAATGATCTGTAGCCAATCAGAAGAAAGGGTTGTTTTTTGTTTTGTTTTTTTACTGCTGGCAGGTCAGCAGTCGAGATTTATTTCATGGAGCTGAAATATTGGTAATGACCCAGAGACCAACCAGAAGTTTGAAACCGAATGAGGTTTGTACTAGTATGTACAATGTACTAGTTTTTCATTAGCTGTTCACTAGCGGTTCACTAGTTGTTCATTAGCTGTTCACTAGCCATTTGTTACTGAGTCTACTCAGTACAATTCATTTTATTTCAGGCTGGTTTTGCTCATTTTAGTTTACCTTTTGGTTTTTGAATTGTTTAGTTTTCAAAGCCACTTTCAGTAACTGGGGATCAGGTGCCTGGTCCACATTGGACCTGGCCAGGCCCAAATGTGGTGGCACATGGCAGTTGGGCCATAGTCCCATCACTTAAGGACTGACCACCAGTCTGTTACCAGTGAGGTAACAGTCTGCTGTGGTGAGGAGAGAGCTGAGCTGGGAAGCATCAATTTACCAGTCGATCTATCTTCATAATCTTATCTATGGTCATGAGTTCCAAGTAGTGACAAAATTAAATTAGATCACGGATATTACCAGCAAAAATATGGAAGTATTTGTTTGAACACAACACAATACACAACATTTTTACAGGAATCCTCAGTGTCATTAAAGAAAACACCACACCCTCAGCATCAGGCTGTACAAATCTTTATTTCTGCTGTGACGTTTTAATATGGTGACTGACTCACTGCTGCCTCTGCTGGACATTAGAGGAACTGCAGGTGACTTTTATTAACTCCATTCAACCCCCCACCCCCAAAAGCCGGATTCTGCTGTTGTTAGTCTCTTCAGTGTTTACTGTGGTGTTGAATGATTAATCAGAGACCCGACACAGCAGTTTGTTAGAAAACATAACTTATTAATGAGCACAGAGTCAGCACAGTCGATGAAGCTTTAACAAACACAGCAGCTGATGCGTTACTCTGAGTACAGATCATTGATATTAATTCCACACATTCAATTATTCACAATCAGGAGGAAAAATCAAGCCAATCATACAGTAAGTGCTCTGGTGAACTCCTCACACCTTAAAACACACACGCGTACAACAAATCAAAAAATTACAATTTGCACGAAAAGAATTTCGTGTCTCTCCAGACTCCATGTTGAGACAGCCAATAGACTCTCTGCAGGGCAGTCACATGGGGGTTGTCTTGCCATTGATGTCGGCTGCCAGGTTGTTGAAGGCGTTTGGTGCATCTTTGCTCCTGATGGACAAACAACAGATTCAGTGAAGAGTGCATCTAAAGCTTCTCAGAGTTCATTAGCAGTAGCTGTGAATGTGGTTGGACTCCAGCGTTAGGATACCTGAGCTGGGAACTATTGTTTTTACTCAGTTACTCATATTTGATAGTAATGTACCTCAATTTGGAAGAACGATTTGTGCCTTCACCATGCGACTTTTTATTTTCATCTTTCTGACCACGGCAATAAGTGAGGAGTGAGGACTTGGCAGGCTGTGGTATACAGCACTGTGAAGGCATCACAGGAGCTGGAGGTGAGTGAGGGTGAGTGGAGGCGAGTGGAGGCGTGCTGGAAGTGTACTGGAGGCGTGTGTTTCTGGTTTTTGTGTTGAAGTTAACCACAGAGGGCGCTGATGGCGACTCTGACGCTCTGTGACTGTGTGGCTGTGTTTGAGCACTGAGTGTGTTTAAGGGAAGAAGCTTTGGCCCTCAGGTCGTTTTGATGGAGGTTTTTGTGTTTCTACCTGAAGGCGTCCAGATTAGTCTCGTAGGTGTTTTTGTTCCCTGACTCAGTGCTCTTCCTCCTGGTGCAGAACAAAAACGAGAAGTAGAATAAACGGTCGTGATCACAATCAGATTTTTATGTCTCAAGGATCTTTGGTGTTACAGAAGCATCTTCAGCGTTTCCTGTCTTGTTCCTACCTGATGGAGCTGAGGCGCATGTCATACAGGTTGCTGCTGACAATGTCACGTTCTCTCACATCTTCAATGCTTGTCCTGCTGCGCAGACACAGAAAAATCACAGAATGTAACGTTTCTGCAGTGAAACATTCAAACGGTTCTTCGGCGGTATTTGGCCAACTGACCTGCTGGGGTTTTCACACCACGCCTTCTTCGCCAGGATGACGACGAAGGCGAGGAACAGGAAGCCGCAGACGGCAATGATGCCGGTCAGCCACTGAGGCAGTGCCCGCTCGTTGGTGTTAGTGGGCTCTGCAAAGCAAACACACAGAGGGGTCAAAGGTCAGAGAAAAGATGAAGCTCTGATGGTTTTCCAGCACAGAAAATATCATGTCGACTTCCAGACGCGAGCTAAACCTTCGCCTACAATCCTCACTTTTTCAAACTGGTTCAGCTTCACTGTCATTACAGTGAATTAAAAGCACTTTTTTAATCCACGAAACGTTATTTAAGCCAGACTTTTAGTAGATTTGTCAGAAGTGTAAATAAACCTGTCATTTTTTCCACAGGCACAGATCTCAGTCCAACAGAGCACCTTTGGGATTTGGTGAAACGGGAGATTCTTACCATGGATGCAGCAGCTGTGCAACAATGTCATGATGATGTCACATCAACATGTACCAAAGTCTCTGAGGATTGCTTCCAGCAGCTTGTTGAATCTACTAATGAGGCGTACCTAATAAAGTGTCCGATGAGCTTGTATACTCGGGGTACGTGAAGTGATTATTTAATGGTGTGATTGGTGAAGCTGTCAGATAATTAACACTGTTAAGCTTTTATAGCTTGACCCTTACAGTCATTAACAGCTGATATGTACTTGTTTGTTTCCTAGTTTGTGTCCTTGGTTGTTTCCTTGTTTGTTATCAGTTTTTAAACATGATATTAGCAGTACATTCGAAAATCGCCTTTGTGATGTTGGGTGATATTTCGATCAGGGTAGATTGGAGATTAATTTAAAGCTTTGAATGAAGCACAGTGACAAACACACACACGATATTAATAAAACATCAGACCTTTGAGTTTACGGTGTGAGAATTCATTTTATAACCATAAAAGCTGCATCCTTATCTTTCTTTATCTTCATCAACATTTCCTTTTAAACTCACTAAAATTAAGCTGATAATAGCTAAATAGACGTGCAGGTCCACAACAAACCAGCGTTTCTGTTCAACATGCGACCAATCAGGAAAGCTTCCAATGTGAATCACTGATGAACTGAGAGTGTTTCAGGGAAAACGAGACATTCCCGACAGCAAATGGGAATTCTTCAGTTTTCTGACAAAACATTTTTAGAGAAGATTTGTACCTGTCTGAGCAGTCACCGTTCCAATGGCGAGCAGTAAACAGGAAGTCAGTGCGCAGAGCGTCCCCATGGCTGAGTCTGTGAGGAAAACCGGAGCTGCTGCAGTCGAGTTAAAGACAGAGTGAGGACGAGGCTCTGGGAGCAGCAGCTCCCTGCAGGCCTGTCAATGTTTAACCCTCAACACAGACGAGCTTTTACTGCTCGCCCATCACCTGTCTTCAACGTCATGCTGGAACAATCCACGGCCTTCATTCATAGGTGATTAATAAACAGAAACCAGCAGTTTAACTTTGACCCGAGGGAACGTAGTGTCTCACTCACAGCCACTCGTTCATATTTCAGCCTCTAAAACAGTAACACAATGACTGCTTACTCCAAACAGCACGCTCATAATAACATTATTACAAGTTCATGAAGCAAAAATCACCTTGAGAAACTTCAAACTGCTCGAAATATTCATTTTTTTACAGTCACATAACCTGCTGCTGACTGAGCAGTCAAAGTACAAACAGCACACCAGTCAAGGCCCCTCGGCAGGCTTCCAGAAGTTAACCAATCGGTAGAAAGTGGACTTCTAGAAAGGAGGACCCTAAAGTGATGGGAGCGGCCTGTATCAGATAAACAAGGATTATTTTGAATTGTGACTCATGCACAGCTGCTCCACTGTGGAATAAAAAAAGAGCAGTAAAGATATTTTTTCTGTATGCATTAGTTTACAGCTTTGTGTACCAAGAAAATAATGATGACAGTGCTTGTGTCTGATTTGGATTCCTTAGAAAGAAGCAGAAAGTTTCTGGTCTCTTACGAGGAAACTGTACAAGCAGTTAAAACGATGAAAGCACAAAAAGAACCAAACAGAATTACCAAATAATCAATATTTGCATATTTTAAATGAAAAGTTTAATTTTTATATGAAACTGTCAGTCCTGCTGCAGACGGCTCAGCATCACAAAAACATGAAGCTTTTAAATCTAAGACACGTGTGAGCTGAGTAATGTGTAAAGAAAGGATTCACTCACTGTGTTTTCAACACTATAATCAGCTTCAGAGAAACTGAATGTTTGCAGTAATTCACAGGAGAACAAGCGTGTGCTGTACTGATTACATGTTTATTAAATATAATGATCACATATCGGTAAATAACATTTTTTTCCCTCCTTGAATGGCCAGTGAAGGTCCGGGAGCCGTGACTTGGGCCCTGCTGTCCTACAGCATGACACATGCAGAGGAGGGTTTGGCTTTGAACATGCCCACGAGGTTCAGGTTTAACTGGGTGGGGTTAAAGTCCTGCAGGTTGGATACGGAGGTCTGCGGTCCTTCCCGGTCCTTCTCCCTAGAGGTGACCTGGTACTGGGCCCTGAAACTCCTCACAGGGTTGTAGTCGGGCCCGATGTGGTCTGGACACCGAAACAGCTCTCTGATGATGGCGCCCTGCCGGGTTATGGCCACAAAGCCGTCCCTGAAGGTCACCATTCGGACAACGGGGGAGTAGACGTACTGAACGAAGAGCAGGTTTCCTGACGGGAGAAATGAATAAAGCTCAGTGGTCGGAATGATGGAACTGTTTATAAAATCCCAAAGGCCAAACTGTTGGAGAATCTTTTGTTTGCAGCTGACTGAACTCTAGAGAGTTGCAACCAGGACGGCTCAGACCTGGGAGTGGTCCAGGT